ATTCCCTCCTTTTTTTTTATAGTGGGACAGGATCAACCCTTAATGAAGCTGTTGTCTGTGGCAGTGGTTCTCAATCGGGGGTCCGCGAGCCCTTTCAAGGGGTCTGTGGGGCCCTGCGGCTGAAATCCAGAGCTCCAGCGCCCCCCGCAGGGCTGAAGTCAGGAGCTGGGGCTGAAGCCCTGATCCCCGGTGCCCCCCGTGGGACTGAAGCCCTGATTCCTGGCACCCCCCGCAGGGCTGAAGCTGACAGGCTCAGAGCTGAATCCCCGAGCCCCGGTGCTCCCTGTCGGGCAGAAGCCCTGAGCCCATGAGCACAGTTGGGAACGTGGAGGGCGTTGCCCCCCCCCCCCCCCCCCCCCCCCCAAACTGCAGCGCAAGAGCACAGCAGTCCTGGGGGGCAGCTCCACCCCCCCACCCCATCCCCGCCATCTCCTCTCCCCACCCCCTGGCCAGGTCGGAGGCGGGAAGCTGATGTCATGGAGCAGGCAGCCGCAGTGTTCCCTCATCTCCTGCTGGTGTCCCAGGTTAAAGCTGCTCCTCAGCTCCCAGCCCCCTTTGCTCCCGCAGAGGCAGCCAGTAAGAGCCCCCTGGGTGGGGAGACCCAGCTCCGTGGCTGGTAGACCCCGCTGGGAACAGGGACCACAGGGGAGCCTTCCCAACATACAGCCCTCCTCCCTGCACCGTGAGCTACCCCCTGTCTGCACACAGCCCCTAGCTACCCTCTTGCTTGCACCCTAAGCTGTTTTCAAACTTTTTGAGCTAAGCTCCCCACCTTTGAGTTATAATTTTTGGTTGCCCACCCCCCAACCTGAACAGGCTGGGTGGCCTGCTTAGGTGAGTCAGGGGGTGGAGGTGGCACTCCCTCTCTGGACCCTGCCGTCCGGAGCTGGCTCGGCCCCTGCCTCCGTAAAATAGAAGTCAAACTATGCCTATGCCCAAGGCCCCTGCCTTGAGGCTCTCCCCGCCCCCGCTGGGCCATGGAGTTTTTAATAGCATGTTGGGGGGGGGCTCAGAAAGAAAAAGGTTGAGAACCCCTGGTTGTAGGACCCCTGCCTCGCTTGTTGCAGAAATTGGAAGGTGTGTAGTGAATCGAGCAGGCGACTGCAGGAATAAAGCCTAGCCTTGTGGTTTAGGCAGTTGAACGCTGTCTTGTAGAGGTGGATTAATCCCTGCCTCTGCCACAGCGTTCCTATGTGATGCTGGGCAAGTCACTTACTCCAAGCTTTTCACAGCTGGTCACTCCCTGTGTTCCTCATCTTCCAGGTGCCCAACTTGAGACGCTGGGGTCTGATTCTCAGGAGTGCTGAGCACTCGCAGCTGAAGTCGCTGGAAGCTGCGCTTGGCACGCATGACAGGCTCTATAATGCTTACTACTTTCGTGCCATAGACACCTCAAATTGGGCACCCATAATGAATGGACACTCTTGTCCTTAATCTCACTGTGCCTCAGTTCCCGCTTTGTAAAATGGGGATAATGCCCCATGTGCACACACATGGTGGTTGTGAAGCATTCAGCTCCTGGAGTGAGGAGCGCCGTAGAAAAGTGCAGGAGGGAATGAATAATTCTGCCTTCAGAGCAGGGTTTGATTTTGGAGCTTAGATTCTGGAGCAGGGTTCTGCAGCAGATGTCATGGCCACGGCCTATGATTGCTGCTCCTAATGCAGAGGAGAGTCCAGCTGCACCCCGCTTAGTCACCTGCAGGTTGGCAAGCCTGTGAGTCTTTCCTCTGTCTCTAAAGCCGAACTGGGCAATGACCAGGGGAAGGAATGCACCAGTTTGGCTGGAATCACCAGTGCTATCTGTGTTGGAATATTTTCCGGGCTCCTCTTGCCTAGAGGGCTTGATCCCAAAATGCCCCCGCCCGCCTCTCCTCTGTTAACCGGCTTCTTTCCTTTGCTCGGGAGAAAATCTCCTTGCTTCATAACTTTAATAGCTGTGCACTTCTGCCCATGTTTCCCCTCCGGAGCTGTTGAGAGCGTTGACTAAATTGTATTGTCTGACTTTATTGATGATTTTGCAGAGGTGCCAACGCATGCCATATATCTTCTTCACTGCTGAGATTATTGTTAAAATAAAAAACACACTGGGAAAAAAACCATCTCAGCTGGCCCCAGCACAGTGGGCGAGAGAAATACTGATTACCAGGAGCTAGGAGCTCCTATCTGTATCAGATTCCACGCTCCTGCTTCCATGTTTGTCTCAATGTGATGTTTACACATGTACATTTCTCCCTCACCTGGCTCTGCTGTGTCTCCCCCCCAGCCATGACTGCAGTCCAGGACATTGGGCTCTGGCCCGGCTGTTGAAAGCGTTATGAAGGAAAATCTTCTGCCCACCCTTCTGCTGGCTATTGGCAGAGCTGCTGGGGCTGTGTCTGAAGTTGGTGACTCTTCACATAGCGCTGAGGCTTCCAGGCAGCCTCCAAAGTGCTGTTTTCCCCTCCTGCTAGCCGGTCCTTCAGACGCACGCCTGGCCCCGTCTCCTGTCACAGAGCAGATTCTGCATCACACACGCAGGGGCAGGCGTTCCCACCGAGCAGGGGCGGCAGCTAAAAGCGTGTGACATTTCAGCCTCCTTCCCGCCCACGCTCGTGCATGGGAGATGAGACTGACAGGAGCTGAGGCAGGACTCTTTTCTGGGTTAGTGAAATGTGAAATCTCCGCGCCGAAGGCTCCTCTCTGGGCTGCACACGAGCAGAGTCGTTAGCTGGCTGTGAGAGGGTCTGAATTTCTTAATCAAGTGGTGCGTCTGACAGGTCCCTCCGCTCTGAGCCTGTGGGCGGCTAGGGGCGATTCCTGCTCGCTCTGCATCACCTTCCAGCCCTGTAAGCACAGAGTTGTCTTTTATCAGCTCTCCTGCCTTTGCCTGGCATTGGGTTTAAAGAATAAGCCATAACCCCATTGCCAGGTGGTTCTGGCCCACCTCAGGTGGGGCTGCACCGCGACGGCAGGCATTGAAGCCAGGGGCCGTTCCCGGTTCAGCAGTGGCTATGAAATGCACGGCCTCTCATCATGGCTGTTATGAAATGGAATCTATCCATTCAAATAAAAGTCAGGGCCTGAGAATTATTGGCCTCACAGACCTGGGGATGACATCACTGCCAGCCAATCAGGAAGCTCCAGTTGTGCCCCCGAGTTCTTGAGCCGTTTCTTAATTCAAGATTTGATGTGTCTGCTGTTGGACTGGACTAGGGGGCATGCTGAGCTGGCTCTCCAGAGGGACACCTGCCATGCTGAGAGTGGGGTGAGGGGGGAGACTGCTGGCCCCATGTCTCTTTGAAGGAGAATCCTGGATGTCCTGCACTGCTTGGCTGCAAAACCAGTTGGCCCTGTGGTGAGAAGGGGTGGTCGTTAAGAATTGCTATGGAAGGACAGGTTTAAAAAACTCACCATGTGGAGTCAAGCAACCTACCAACTTGTCTAGTCATTAGAACAGACTGGCATTGGGTGTGAAGGGAGACACCACTCCCTGCTAAAGGGCATATGCCAGCCAGCCCCTCCGTTCGCTTTCTTACTTGTGGGCTGGGATGCAGAGAGAATCTGGAATGGTTAGAGTGAACCCCCCAGCCCACAGATGGCAGAGGCCCACGTGGGTGGGGAAACGTTACCTAATGGCTAGAACCAGGACTCTAGCGTTCCACTCCCATCGTGGTAACTGACTCAGCGGGACGTTGGGTAAGTCTGGTCCCCGCTCTGTGCCTTAGTTCTCTTCATAAAATGGAAATACTAGTGGGCATAGAAGGAAAGAGAGAGGAACTCTGGGTAGACCCAGTGCAGAGAACCAGAATCCTGGATTAAGCAGCGTTGGAAGGAAGAGCGAATGAGGCAGAGGTCTCCCCTGACCCAGCTCTCCTGGGCTACATGGCAGTGCGTAGCATGGTTAATCCCTTTCCCGCTGTGGCTGTACATAGTGGGGGGCACACCCTGGCAGCCGTGTATATTCCCACTGGATGGCGTGGTAAAACATCCTCCAGGGCACTGCTGCTTGCTAGCCCAGGGAACGTCCCCTTCAGTGGGCAGAGCTCCAGCTGGTGTAGCGCCCGTTGAGCAGAAGCCGCACAGTGAATGGTTGTTGGTGTGGGAGGGTATAAAGATTTGGGATGGGCATATAACTCACAACAACAGTCATCCTCCCCTCCCACCCCAAATGAGTGCCCATAAAGCCTTCATCCTCCCCACACGGTGCCGCGTTAGGCCAACGCCCAGAGTTCCCACAAGGCAACTCGACAGCAAAGAAAAGGTGCACCATCTCAAAATGATGTAAGCAGCTTTTCAGCACATAAATGTGGTGTTAATGGCCGGGGTGTGAATCCATTGTCCTGTGACCCCACCGGAAAGCTAGACTCTCCTCTTTCTAGCTATATATAGTACCCATTTCGAACCCTTGGGGGCCATTGTCAAATGCCAAGTAGTCCCTCTCCTGAGCCTTGGGCCGGTCTATCTTTGGGAACTAAATTCCGTGTTTGGGAGGGAAAGGAGAAAGTCAGGCACACAGCGTGGGCTGGGTTTGGTCTGCAGCCACTGAGCAGCTTGGGATGCCAGCAGTAGCCCCACGGTAGTGGGTTAGTGGGCAGGGTGCAGGTGAGGGGGTCAGTTGTGGGTGATAAATGTAGTTTAGCCCAAAGATTTCTGGGGGCAGGGAGCTGTTTGGAACAATCATTTAATTTGATTTCCTTGTGTGTATCGAGACGCTCTGGTTGCAGCAGAACTTCTGTTGCTCTATATTTATTTTGCCCCCCTTGACTGGGAGCTGCCAGCCTGTTGATTCATTGGGGTTAAAGCGGAGCCAGTGAAATGCTGTTGAGGAGCTTTTACAGCTGCTGCTTCTGGGCAAGCTCCGCTGCCCCTGCTTCCTACAGGCCCTGACGCTCCGTTGGGAGACCTCATTTCTTGCCTAGAGCGGTGATTCCTGGACTGGGCTCCCCTCCGGCCCCAGGCCTGGCTGGCTGGCTGCACCTTGTCTCTTGCTTGCTGGGCTGACGGTGCTTTTGTGTCCCCAGATCAACCTGAACAAGGTGGGGGAGTACTGGTGGAGTGCCATCCTGGAGGGAGAGGAGCCGATAGACATCGATAAGATCAACAAGGAGCGTTCGATGGCCACGGTGGACGAAGAGGAGCACGCCGTGCTGGACAGGCTGACCTTCGACTACCACCAGAAACTGCAGGGCAAGCCCCAGAGCCATGAGCTGGTAGGTCCTTCGCAGCTTGCGGGGAAGTGGGTTGCCAGCTGGCTGGGCAGATCCTTGCTGATCGCTTTATTCTGACTCCACGCCCCAGGCACTAGGGGATGGCTGCGGCCGGCTGGACTGAGTAGGGACTTAGCAGCAAGCGCTGTCTCTCCTCTTGCCCATTGTGACTGCCGGGAGCTGTAGACCTACCCTGACTCCCTGAAGGGCCCCAGCTGCTCTGACTTGAACGGATCCCGCTCCATGAGCCATCTCCAGGGAGCTGAGCGCCACCATCTTGCCTGCCATTGAATTTTTGTTAGTGTAAACGACTGCATAATCTGATGTGCACCCAGGAGAGCCATTCGTTGCCTGGACCTTGCGTCCTGTATGGCAATGCTGAGTTCTCCATCACACACACACCCCACCCCCCGTTGGCCCTCAGCAAGCATCGTATTCCCCACACCCTCCTGTGCAGGCGAGCCTCACGCCGTACCCTGCAAGTCACCAATGCCCAGTCCTCGCGGCCCACCCGCCGTGCGTTCCATAGTCCGCAGTCCTCTGAGAGCCCTGTCGGCCGTTCTGGAGAGAGCTAGGCAAGGACTGACAGCAAGAGGGGGTCTTGTCCATCACAGCCGGGCATGGAGGAGAGGCAATCGCCCAGGTATGCAGGTCCAAGATCATTCATTCCTAACCAGCTGAGCTGCACCCAGAAGCAAGCAGGTAACGGCCAGCCTGGTTTCTGCTGTCTGTCCAGTAGCTGAGCCTGCAGGTGAAACGGCCAAGATTGCTGAGGGTGGCCAGGAACAGTCCGTGTCCTGCCATCTGGAGGTTAAAAAGGGACACGTCACTTCTGCTGCCTTCCCCCAATACCCAGGGAGCCTAGACTCCACAGGCTGGCCAATGGCTTTGCATCACCACAAAGCAAAGCTGGTGTCTCCCGTCATCCCAATGGCCCAGGCCCTGCTGATAGCAAGCAGCCACCAGTGCAGAGTTGGCTCCCACTCGCTCTCCCGTAGCAGCAGTGGCCCAGCAGGGTGGCTGTTATCAGGAGCGGAGGGGGAGCTGTTTGAGCGCCATCTCACTGCCCCAGGACAGGGCTTGGGTGCAGGTCTGTCATGGAGCCCAGCTCGGTGGCGCTGTGAGGCGGAGAGACCAGAGCAGGAGGCACCTTTCAGCTTGGTATTGAAGTGCAAAGCTCTCTGGGAAATGAGCCAGTGCCTCTTTGTTCTCTGTTCTTTGGCACAGACCCTGAGCTTAGCCACTCCCTGGGAAGGCCGGGCGTGGAGCTGGCTTGGGGGGTTCCTTAAACTCATTTCTCGGCGACAGCTGTAAAGCCTGAGGGTTTTGAGGCACTCGATTGAGGAGAAGGGGTGGTGGCCCCCAGCTGGGGAATGGCAGAGACCAGTGGGGCAGTGAGACCAACCTGGGGGGTGGGACTGTGTCTCCGTCAGCTGTGTTTCCCCTCAGTAGACTTGACTCGAGTGCGTTGCGTTTTCAGAAGGTGCACGAGATGCTGAAGAAGGGCTGGGACGTGGAAGGCTCCCCATTCCGGGGCCAGAAGTTCGACCCCGCCATGTTCAACATCTCCCCTGGGGCCGTGCAGTTTTGACGACGCCCAGCGAGGAAGGGAAAATCACATCCACGCTTGGGATTGGAGGCCAAGGCCAGCGCCACTGTGTGTAACCAGCTAGCACAGGGGCAAAGCCTGGGCTTCCCCCTCTGCCTGCTCCCATGAGTGATGTCCAGCCGCCCCTTTATCCTAGTGTTGCCACCGGGGGCTGTTTGCCAACAGCCAGCCGCCAACCGGCTGGGGCGGGGGTGTGGTTTGGGGGGGAGGGGGGAATGCCAGCTTGGCGCGTTTGAGATGCATGTGGGGCAAGCCTAGCAAATGCAGAACTACGTCCTCTGTCACCACGGCAACCAGCGGCTGCTGGTAGCATTTCCCTTTCTCTCGCTGGCTATGGCCCCGGTTGCTGCTGGGGGTGGGGGGGCACGGGCGGCTGTTGTTTTTCAGGAATAGATGATGCTTGTTGAGGTGACTTTGAAGTTTGTCTTTCTTGCTTTTGGGGAGCCCGCCCCAGCCCCCAGTGCCTGACCCTCCGAGATGGCAGCGCTGCCCCCATTGAAAAGTTGCCAATCTGTGGTGGCCGTATCTAACCGAGCTGCACTGTGTTCAGAGCCCCAGCGCGCTGGCAGCGGGAGGGAAAAGCTGCAGCCTCAGACACCTGGTAACGGAGATGGAACAGACCATGCCGTGCTCCAAGCGCTATACACCTGCAAAGTGTTCCATGCAGCCGGGGCATGGGCCCAAGTGTGGCACTCTGCCCTCTGCACCCACGGATCTATCCGCAGGCGTCCAGTTCTCTGTTAGCCGTGGCAGCTGGGGTACTGAGTTGCTGGTTATATTAACAAGGTTTTGGCTCTGGCAGAGATCGAGAGGCCAGGCCTACCCTGTGCCTGCCTTTGCAAAGATAAGCTGATATACACAACCCCCTAGGGCTCACATTGTGAAGTCAGCCCAGCTTTGGGTGCCTAAAGCACCTGGGGGCTGATTTCCAGAGGCAGCAAGTGCTTGCAGCTCCTGCTGTCTTTGCTTGGCTTGGGAGTCTGAAAACCAAGCCCTAGGGGCATCTCATTGGGCACCCAAAACTAGTGGCCGCTTTATGGAGTATCGTGTCCCCAGCTACTGAGGCGGTGTCTACGCTACATCTCGGAGCGAATCTCCCAGCCTGGGAGCCACGGCCTCGCTCCGCTCAAGGTCTCACGATAAAGGGGGCAGTGTGGCGGGCGAGCAGAGCTAGCGGGTGTCTGTCTAGCCAGCGTAGTGGCCAGCACTGTTAACGCAAGATATGGTGGGGCTGGTCTGCAGACGCTCCCCTCTGAAGGCGTTAAAGCCAAGTGCTCAGACCCATCCAGGTCACCCTCTGTGCTGCATCCTGTGTCCTCTCCATCGCCAAGAACCCACACTGATGCCCCGCCCTTCTCCCAAGCGGGTCAGAGCCTGGAAAACTGGCCACCTGCAGGCTGCCGCTGCCTGCTGTAGCAGCGAGCCCCAGAGGGGACTCAGAAATAATAGCATGTGACCGTGTCCTTAAAGGCTGTATCTTAATGCGTGTGCACGCAGGGTGAATTAAGGTTGTCTAGGCAACCTTCATTTGGGCATTTCCTAGCTTTTGATTTGCAGACTTAATCATGTTCCTTGCACCTAGTTGTGTGGTGTAACTTCCTAGGGTCTTAAAAGAACAAGCTGGAAACAAACCCAACAGGAATTCCAGCATGTGGAATCCTATTGGGACCCCGTGGATCATCAGCAGGGTTGAAACCTGTAGATCCTGCCCCCAGACCTCTGCTGCTTGAGCTAACGGACTGACTGATAGCAGTAGTAGGTTGTCATCCTCGCTGTGGACCAGCACGAGAGGGGGATGGGATGCTCTGCTAGTGGGTTTTACAGCTATTTGCTGACAGTGGAGGAATGGTGAGACTCAGGACTCCTGGGTTCCAGGTGCGGGAGAGGAATATTGTGGGCACAACTTATTTTGCCTCCCAAGCCTGACTCCTGCTCTGTCCCTTCCAAACTGGTCTTGTTCCAGCCTGGCTCTTCCTGCCCCTGGTCCCACTCTCCTCACCTAGCCAATCCAATCTTCCCTCCTCAGGCTTATTACAGCCCCAGGCTCTGGGCCCAACCAGTTCTCGTCTGCCTCCAACTCCCCGTCTATTCCCCGCTCTTTGCCCGGCCAGTCCCAGTTGCCCTTCCTCCCAGCTCCTTATCTGTTCTCTCTGCCCCCTCCATGATCTCCAGTTGCCCCCTCCCCACTGGCGCCCAGTCCCAAGCTGTGCCCCTCCCCCCCCTTGCAGGCTTCTTGTCCCACTCTCTGCCCAGCTGATACCAGTTCTCCCCCTGCATCGTCAGATCTCTCTCTCTCTCTCTCTCTCCTTCCCCTGTCCCACTAGCTCAGTCCCAGTTTTCCTGCCCAGCCAGTCCCCTGCATCCCCAGCTCCATGTCCCTTTGCAATCTTCCCCCGCTCAACCTACTGACTTCCAGTCCCTCCCTGGCCCCTAGGCTACTCAAATCCCTAGGCCCACTTTCCCTTCCCTCCCCGTTGGCACCCACCTTTGGCTCCTTATGCCAATCTGTTGCCCCCTGCTGGTCTGGCACTTGTCCCCTCTCCATATCCATTGGGTGACTTCCTCCTCCATGCTGCGGGGGCCCAGCCCTTGGGGTCATGACGGGTGTGTCTACACTGCAGCTGGGAGCAAGCCTCCCAAGCCAGGTAGACACGTCGAGCGGCTCAAGCACAGGTCTGTTGCACTAAAACGAGCCGGGTGGGCACGGCAGCTCCAGCAGAGTTGGGCCTGAGAGCCCCAGGCACCATGGCCACACTGGTTTGCTCGCTCGAGTCCCGCGAGGGCGGCTTGTGCCCAGCTGCAGTGTAGACGTAGCCTGAGAGCGCAGGCGAGAGTCTCTCTGCTCTGAGCTCAGGCGCACGGACCGGACACGGCTCCGAGCTGCACTTGCAGTGCTGCTCCGCTTGGGGGGAATTTAGCTGCTACGCTCTAAGAAGTCTCTACTGAGATGTGTGAGCTGGGATTTTTTGGGGCCAAATTAGTGTTGTTTTTAAGGGTGACGTCAAAACACAGATGCTGTGGTCTACACGGAGCACCCCTGGACCCCCCTGCAGGGCCCGATTGCGGCGGGTGGGGGCTTGCAGCTCTCCTCATAGCCATGGATTTGGATAGCGCTGGTCACTAGCCAGGGGCAACTGCAGCTCTGCTACTCGTGCGGCTGGGCTAGCGCCCTGGGCGAGCCCAGCTCAGCCTACTCTGCCCTGCAGCCCGTTCCCCCCGTGTGCCCCACAGGACGTCAGCCTAGGAGCTCAGGCTGAGATTGACACCCCCTTTCCGTCAATGCCTGGGGGCCACCCCCTAGAAGAGCCCCTTGGCCTAGACTCTCTGCCCTCTCTCCATCACAGCTGGGTCTCCTCCTTCTGGGGTAACTCAGTTCCTCTGCCTGTTTAAAGTAGCCCAGCCCGTGTGTTCTGCTGGCCGGCCCCCCACTCCTTTAGGCCCAGTTGGGTCAGTACCTGTAGCTCCTCTCCCTCAGCCTGGAGGTTACCTAGTGGTTATTCTCGCTTTGTTCTTCCTTGTCTCCTCTTCTGCGGGTCTCTTCCAGGCCAGGGTGGCCGACAGGCCAAGCGTCTCCAGCTGCCTGTGCTGCGGTGGGCGCAGCCTGCTTCATTCTCACGGTACGGCTCCGCTGGCTCAGGAAGCCCCTCGGAGGCTGGCAGGGAAGCAGGCAGCACCCGGGAGCCAGCGCCGGGCACCCCGTGGCCGCCACATGTGGCTGCGCTCGGATTTGTCCACCTCCCTCTTCCTTTGCAATAAACATGTTTATATCCGAGCAACTGTGTGCACACGTATGTGACTCAGTGTGAGGACATCCCCCCCCACACACCCCCGGGGACATGCGTTGGGCTGGATCCGGCCTCCTGCTGCTTTTCTGGGACAAGGTCACTGGGAAAGAGTCAAGGCTCCAGCTGGGCCTTGCCTTAGGGTTGCTCCCTGGATTCACCCGGCAAGGGCAGCGCTTGGAGCCGAGCTACGAAGCAGAGCAGTGCCCAGCAGCCAGGGCTAAACCTGGAGGCTAAACCACCCCTGGAGGAAAGAACTGGAGTTGGCTAGATCCCGCTGGGGGCGAGGAGACGCTCTGCCATTCAGCAAGGAGCTAGATTAACCCTTTAGCCCTGACCCACATCTTCCCACCAGCTGCTTCCTTTTTGCAGCCGCCTGCTGTTCCCTGGGCAGCTGAGAGTCCAGCCGGCTGGGCATGGGGAGGAGGGGTGGATGGCACGGCAGTGTGGGGAGGAGAAGCCCTCCCTGTGGGGAGGTTGGTGAGGAACAGAGGGGGCATTTCAGGCTGTAGGGAGTGGCCCTGTCACTGGCTGGGGAGTGAGCGGGAGTTGGCTACAGAAGTGGCTCTTCCTCACCAGTGGCTCATTCCCTTGTGCGCCGGGTGGCCTGGTCCGAGGGGACCCACGTGCAGCTCTGCAGAGAGGGGAAGGGTCAGGGCTGCCTGGGAGCCCAGGGGAACATCCCTGGGCCCATGAGGAGCCAGGCCAGTGAGTGCCAGCACCGTGCACAGAGCATGGAATGCGCCAGGAGCCAGGGTGACTTTTGCTCTTTCTGTTCCCTTTGCTTCCCGCCTCTCCCAGGGGTTCATCGATTCGGAGTCTAAGGCCGGGGGGACCATTGTGCTCATCTAGTGCGACGTCCCGTAGCGCACAGGCCCTGAAATGTCACCCGGTTACTCCTACAGTGAGCCCAGCAGCCTGGTTGGACTGTCACGTCTTGCAGACAGACTCCCCCATGTCCCGTGGGAGATTGTTCCAGGGGTCAGTCACCCCTGCTGCTAAGAGGCTGCACCATTTCTGATCGGAACTGGCCGGGTTTCAGCTCCAGCCGGTGGGGTTTGGTCTGCCTTTCTCCCCCAAGACGCAAGAGCCCTTTAGTGCCGGGACTTTCTCCCCGTGAAGGTACTCAGACACTGTGCTCACGTCACCTCTTGATCTTCCTTTCGATAAGCGGAAGCCAGCCTCCTAGTACCCCCCCCCCCCACCCCGCCCCTTCCCAGAGGCCATGGCTGCTCTCAGCTAGGAACCAGCGACCAGCCCTTGGCCTCCTCCGAAGCCTGACTCACGCTGACGTGGCCCACGAGCAGCAGCACGCTCCGGGAAGAGAGATCCTGTTTTCACACCAATGTTCTCGTGCTAATGAAGAGCCAGGGGAAGAGACGTGCCGCAAACGGGAGCGAGAGGCCGACTCACCTGAGCCACATCAGCTGCTCTGGGAAGGCGAATGTCCTTCGGCTAGCCAAAGGCATGGGGGTGGAGGAGCCGGGCTCTTCGGGAGTGGGAGAGAGCTGGTCTCACCCCCGCCTCGAAGCTGTTCCTGGCACTTTCCAGCTGGCAGCGATGGTGCAGGCAAGCGGCTGGCTGATCACCAGAACTTGCACTTGTAACTAGGAAGCACAACTTAAGCCCGCCCGCTTAGCATTTGGGGCTATGGAGAAGAGTGGGGTGAAGCCCGAAGGGTGGGGGCACCATGGTACAGGGCAGAAAGAGGACACGGGGTACAGAAGAGAGCACCCCGGTCTCTCCCTTTCTCTCCCAGGGGATCCAGGGAGCGGGCCTGGGTGGGGGCAGTGGTGAGGTAGCGGCCCCGGGGGGCTGCCGGGTCCTTGGCGGAAGGCTCGAAGAACCTCCCGGGGGCTAGGGGAGAAACATGCACAAAATGCAGCAAGTTCCTCAGCGTGGGAGGAACTCCGGGCCTGAGCCCCTGGCCAATGCTACCCCTGCATCTTGGCTTCTGCTTAAAGCCGGATTGTGCATCGCTTCGACAAACCCACCGTCAAGCAGTTGGCTTGGCCTGGAACCTGGGGGGCGAGGCCAGGGCCTGGGGCGGCAGATGTGGACAGAAGGGGGTTCCCAACGTGGAGCTCCCTAAAAGGGGAGTGGTGCCAAGGGCTTCATTCCTGCCATCCCTTTGCTGCGTCCCGCCAGGGCCCCCAGGAGGCACCAAGTCTCCAGCACTGGCCTCCCCTGGTGCCAGCCCCAAGGCCCAGCCCTGGAAATAGGACGACATGTGGGCCTGGAAATGACAGCTAACGAGCCCCTAAGACGTGGCCGGGGCCCTGGAACTGCAGGGGAAGGGGGCTTCGGGTAATGGGGATGGTTGGAGCTGGGGGCCTGTAGATTTCTGCTATGCAGGGGAGGGTGGCAGGGAGCAGAGGGGCCCCCGGGATTGTGGGACTCGGGCTTCGGGGCAGAAGAGATCCTCTGCATGTGGCAGCACCAGCGTGGGCACTGATTGCTGCGGGTTCACTGAGCTGCCCCCACCTCGTTTCCAGCTGCCCCGTCGCAATTAACGAGGTCAATGTTGCAGCTTCCTACCGTCAGTTTTCCTGCTGGGCTGGGGATGCAGCCCCCAGCCTGGGGGGTGTCAGGCTTTGGGGGGCTTTTCCAGGTCACCCGGATGGCGTGGGGAGACTGGAACTGACAGCATTTCCATGGTGACTGCGGGGGGGGGAGATTGGGGTGCTG